CCAGAAGCGAGGTTATTTTAAAAAGCTTCTGTATCATAGAAACTAATTTTAAGTTGCTGGTTAGAATGTTTTGGTTGTTTCAGTGGTCACCCTGGCCATACTATTTATTTCATATAAAAATGTATAGTTTATATGGAATGGTATTATCCAAATTTGGGGGGAGATGTAACATCCAAGGTTGTTCTGCTGTTATCTAGCTTCTCACCCAGGGGTGGACTGACCACTTGGGCAGATCGGTCAATGACCGAGGGCCCGAGGCAGTCAGGGGCCCAGCCGGCTGAACAGCCATGCACTCACTCTGGCTGCAGCCAGAGAGGCACAATTACACAGGATTTGTTGCCCCAATGTGTCCTCTCACCTACTGAGTGATACCTGGCAGCAATCCTGCTGCTGCCAGGTCTCCTCCATCCTCTCTGTGCGGAGCTCCATGTGAGGGGAGAGGGTGGGGCCCAGGGGAGGGGAAGTGACATCACCTCCTGCCTCCTCCTCTCCTCCTGAATCTGCTAAGTGGCTGAAGCTGAGGAGCAGCCTGACAGAAACAGCAAGTCTGTAAAACCACCATACAATTTCACCTCCACTTCAGCCCCATGCCCCCTCCACCCACCTCAGCCCCAATCCTCCTCCACATACCTCAGCACCCATTTCCCCAGCACCCATCTCCCTTTCACCCACCTCAGCCCCCTCCACCCACCCCAGCACCAATCTCCCTTTCACCCACCTCAGCCCCCATCTCCTCCAGCACCCACCCACCTCAGCCCCATTCCCCCTCCACTAACCTCATCCCCATGCCCCCTCCCCCCACCTCAGCACCCATCACTTAGCTCAGTCCCTCTCTTCCTCAGCACCCACATCAGCCCTATGCTGATTTGAATACTACCCACCCCACCTTCACCCACTTCAGTCCCCATCTCCCCCAGCCACCATCTCAGCCCCATGCTCCCCTCCACCCACCTCAGCCCCCATCTCCCACAGCACCCACCCCCATTCACCCATCTCAGCCCTCGGTATCCACCTCGGCCTCATGCCCCCTCCACCCACCTCAGCCCCTCGGCTTCATGCCCCCTACACCCACCTCAGCACCCATTTCCCCAGCACCCATCTCCCTTTCACCCACCTCAGCCCCCTCCACCCATCCCAGCCCATCTCCCTTTCACCCACCTCAGCCCAATCTCCCCCACCACCCACCCACTCAGCCCCATGCCCCCTCCACCAACCTCAGCCCCATGCCCCCTTCCACTCACCTCAGCACCCATCACCCCCTTCACTTAGCTCAGTCCCTCTCTCCCTCAACACCCACATCAGCCCTATGCCCCCTGCACCCACCTCAGCCCCATGTCCCCTGGACCCACCTCAGCCCCATGTCTCAGCCCCAGCTCCCATCTCAGCGCCATGCTTCCCTACACCCACCTCAGCACCTGTCTCCCCCTTCACTCACCTCAGTCCATATCTCCCTCAGCACACACATCAGCCCCATGCCCCCTCCACCCTCCTCAGACCCCATCTCCCCAGCACCCACCTCAGCCCCACCCTTCACCTCCAACACCCACCTCAGCCCCCATCTCCCACAGCACCCACCTCCTTCCACCCACCTCAGCTCCCATCTCCCCCGGCATTCACCTCTGTCACTATACCGCTATGCAGCTACTAAAGTCCCTATGCACCTCTGCACCTACTACAGCCCATATCCCACACACTGCAGCCACTATCCACACACACAAACTGCAGCCTTTATATCCCCTACACAGTAGAGCCTCTATTATTCATACAAACACAAACTACAGCCCCAGTATCCCCCAGACGCCTACTACAGCCTATCCCACACACATATAACAACCTCTACCACACACACTGCAACACAACTAGCCATTTCCACCCACATACTACACTGCAAACAGCCTCATACACACACGCAAACCCACCAGGAGCCTCACTGTATGCACACAGTCCAACAAGCAGCATCCCCACACATGGAAAACCACATGCAGCCTCCCTACAGCTGAAGTGGTAGAGGTTAACACAGTAAAGGAGTTTAAGCATGCGTGGGATAGGCATAAGGCTATCCTAACTATAAGATAAGGTTAGGGACTAATGAAAGTATTTAGAAAATTGGGCAGACTAGATGGGCCGAATGGTTCTTATCTGCCATCACATTCTATGTTTCTACGTTTCTATGTTTCTACAGACACTTATCACAAGCAGCATCACCTCCATTGCAGTACGGCATACTGCCTCATTATACACACAGACACACACAATTTTTAAAACCATTTATATAGCACCAACATATTCTGCAGCACAGTACAATAGGTAAAAGAAGACAAACTATTCTAATACGTTGACATACAGGAACCCAACATCACAAGCAGCATCCCACACACTGAACCTCACAAGTAGCCTACAAACACATGTTTGGAGGCTACTTACATGGACTTACATGATTGAAAACAAATGTGGGGGACACGGCTTGTGATGTCACCAGCAAACACAGAGAAAGTGTATAATTACATTGGCTTTATTTCTTTATTTTAGTGGGAATAGGGGGGTCGAGGCATGCCAGTCAAGGTTACTCCTTTCAAAAACAGTGTTTTATTAAAACACTGTTTTTGGTTGGATTAACCTCTTAAAAGCCAAACCTTGTGGGAGTCATGACTGTGTGGTTCTCACACAGCCATTATGGGTGCAGGGCAGCATGCATATAATATCTGTTTGAGAGCCACACAAAGAAGGGGGAGAAAAGTAGCAGTATCTAAAAAACTTTGCACCAGGACTTTGCCCGAGGGCCCTGTAAGTTGTCAGTCCACCCCTGTTCTCACCATTTGTGTAAAGACATTGTAACGGACCGTTTTGCACACGAGGTTAAAAACCGTTTAGGCGATATTCCCCTTTTAAATACATGAACAGCTGCTGCAAGCACCAATCTCCCGAATTACAAACACATGAATACTCAAACTCCAGAACAGGAAACACATGAATTCACCAACTCCCGAACCAGAAACACACGAATTCACCAACTCCCAAGCACACAAATGCTGTTAAACAGCCGAACAGGAAAAACCATCCGAACAGCTTACACTCCCGGCAGTCGCACTGTAACAGCATACAATCCAATTTCCACTAAGAAGGAGACAACACTTCGTTTGAGGGTCCAGCGGAACTGATTTACTGGGGCTACCTGCCCGGCTTTTATGCAGGTCTCCCACCTGGTGGACACTCCCCTAGGGGACCAGATGGAAGACTGGGAAACATATTGGACATTGACCAATCACAAGCTTACAATCCCACAATGCATCACAATCCCTCCTCTCTGTCCTGGAGATAATTAGGAAATAATCCAATTATCTCCAAGGACAGAGGCAAAACTCCATTAACCACATGGCAGACAAAGGACAATAAAAGACATAAAAATACATACTGTTACATTTATCACATAGAACATACACATTCTACCTATCCCCAGATAGCTTATTACTACCGGATGGTAGTACGCACATTACTACCGGATGGTGCTCAGATCACACACATACAGTTCAATCGCCATGGAGCCAAAGTCTTTCATACAGTCTTTCAGTATACGGCTGGGCTCCATGGCATAGCTATCTGGGGTAGCATGGTTTGAACAGTAAAGTACCGAATGGACCGGTGTTCGGATAATTGACTGCAGGTAGGAGAAGGGAGGTCGGCGGCTCATCGGTGTTCGTGACTCTAACAGTCCGCAGAAAGGCACGAACCAGCCTTTCTGCAGAGAAAAAGAACAGTGTTAAACATGGGGCCATAGTCCAGCGGCAGGAGGCGGATCGACCAGGCTCCTCCAGTGGCCAGTGGCAAGGTTGGTTCCGCCACAGACATCATAGACAATTGTCATACATGAACAAAAACTTTAGAGTAGTCTGCAAATGCACAGATGGGTTTGGCAATGTTCTGTATATGAACGATATGGCTGCAAACATTCAGGTTATGCCCAATTTCTACCCTCTTAAAAGCTTATGTGGCATTTGCTCCCCTGATTTTTATGTTTGTTTTTTTTATTTATTTTTTTAAATAAGAGGAGAAAAAAAAAAAAATATATATATATATATATATATATATATATGTATGTATGTATATATAAATGTGTGTGTGTGTGTATATATATATATATATATATATATATATATATATTTTTTTTTTTTTTTTTCTTCATGCTACTCCCAATGTGACATTACTTTAATTATGTGAGGGAGGTTGGAATGTGCATACAGTTGTTACTCCATATTGCCCCTGCCCATCATTTCCCCATCACACTCATACAAGTTCAGCACATTAGCATTGCATAAGTATATGTATGTATCACGAAGAACATGCAGTACTTTGTGAAAATTACTTAGATTAACACTAAGCACCATAAACACTACAGTGTACTGTAGTAACTATGGTGCTCAGAGTACCCTGGCACGCCCCATTATAAGCAGTCAATCTGTTTTAGAGTAGTTTGTTTTCTAACAAGGGTTCTGCTGGGTACTGCTTTCCACCTCCACTGCAGCCAGCATAGAGTCAGACGTTCTGTGTGACTTAAGCCCAGCTCAGGAGAGGTAAGGAAAATTCTTATGTTCTAAAATGGTTAACTACTGACAATGATGGAGCGGGGCAGGGCACTTATTGATCATACAAATTCCTCCAAATTCAGAAACCAAGTGAATGTCCTAACTTACAAATAACCAAATTAAAGTGTTCATTAGAATTTAGCTCTGCTTGAAAAGTCAAAGTTTGAAGTGTATATTTTGAAGCAAATTTACTCTTGTTTAATGTTTTCTAGGGAAGGTGCTGGACATTTCAGTTTTTTGTTCTGGTGAGTTTTGGTATGTTTTAAAAGGTGGTCACTCATAAATCTCTTCCCACATTCTTGGCAGCCAAA